ATAATCAATTTGAACCACGCTTTGATCGTGAAATGACCAGAATGTGCCAGAAGACACGGCAAAGTAATTTTGCTTGACACACCATCACACACTTCAAAACCAGTTAAAGACACGTTTAACCCACCCGCCTTATTCACCAGACCTGGTTCCTTCAGATTACCACTTGTTCTTATCCATGTCACATGCACTTCAAAACATACGAAGAAGTGGAAAACTGGGTCTATGAATGGTTTGCCTCAAAACAAGAACTGTTCTATTGGGACGGTATCCACAAATTACCTGAAAGATGGGGGAAATGTGTAGCTAGCGATGGACATTACTTTGAATAAAGCACTTTTGATGTTTCTCTTGAAATTATCGTGTTTTCTTTGATTACAAAATCCGCCGTTATTAACCAGTATACCTAGTATCCCTGAGAAGCAGGGAGTGCCTAGATACCCTTTACTTGGCTTCCATGAGATCGTAACTCTTTTGTAGTAATGTGAAGATGTTACTTGTCTTTTTTAACTTTGTTGACATTTTCACTAATGGTGCAAAATCAGTGGTGGGTAAAACTGGCACCTGAACACAAATCAAGGTGATGGCTCCAAAACTTTACAACTCTAAGTGTTCATTGTATTCTTTGTTACCACATACTTGCAGTAAAAATCACGAAAGTTTCACCTAAGACTGTCCTTGATTAAAAGTAAAATATATTTATTTTATTAAATCTCAACCTTCAAGTGAATATTGCTTTAATATTCTGTGTGATAAAATGGGAAGTACACATGTTTCATACTAATGGTCTAAGTAAAAGCAGTCATGCAATTAGGATGCCAGGCTGAACTAGCTGCCTTATTCATAGAAAACCATTTTTAGTTGTATTACTGACAAACTATGGCTCTTCATACTTGCATATTTATTTGTCAGACTTTTTCTTGAAAATGGATGAAAGCAAGCCTGCCAGTTAAAGAAAAACAACTGACAGAAATTGTTGCCAATCATAAAATTTGAGCTCTTAAGTGAAAATTAGAATTTTGGAAAACTACCACCCTGAGCTTAACAGCTTCCTCGTATTATTTCCTGGTGAAATCGTGGCAATATTAACAAAATGTGACCGTTTGTTATTACACAATGAAGTAGAATAACTTTGGGAAGATCTAGCTGATTCAGCAAACCAACAGTTCTCATATAACCAATGTGTGATGTTAAAAAAAAAAGGCATATATAAAAGATCCATTCAAAGTATAAGACAGATCGATGAATTTTAATGTATTAGTACTAAAAGTTTATTGATATGATTTCAGATTTGATATTGCAAATAAAGTCTATCCTTTGAAGTTTAAGTGTATAGTACCAAAGAAGGAATATGTACAGTTACTGAGCAAGTTTTTAAAGTACTCCTTTTTTCAACTATTTATCTGTGAGGGATCATTTTCTTTTCCTTTTTTATTTTTAAAATATATTTTATTGATTTTTTTTTTTACAGAGAGGAAGGTAGAGGGATAGAGAGTTAGAAACATCGATGAGAGAGAAACATCAATCAGCTGCCTCCTGCTCACTCCCCACTGGGGATGTGCCCACAACCAAGGTACATGCCCTAGATCGGAATCGAACCTGGGACCCTTGAGTCCGCAGGCTGACACTCTGTCCACTGAGCCAAACCAGTTAGGGCTTCTTTTCTTTTTTTAAAATAAACTTTTGTTTTAAATTGATTTTTAGAGGGGGTGAGAGAGAGAACCATCACTTGGTTGCCTCCTATAAATGGCCTGCCTAGGGACCAAACCCACAAATGATATGTGCTCTGACTGGAATTGGAACTTACAATCTTTTAGATCTATGGGACAACATTCTAAGCAACCGAGCCACCTGGCCAGGTTGAGAGATCATTTAATTCATGGACATCATCCAAACAACATACTACAACAAATTTAATTTTAATATTTGTAAAAGTGTAAAACCTTGAGCTCACTAATAATATTTTGTTTTGGAAAATACATAAAATAGATAATGTTATTTATGTTAACATAATAGGTTTGTTGTTAATAAAAATAAATTAATGTTTAATTTTTTTATTTCAGTTTCTGTTTGGTAAATATCAATATTTTTAGCCCACATAAACGATAGTCTTTGGGAATCTCCTTTGTTTTTTTAGTATAAAGTGCTAATGCAAAAAAGCCTGAGAACTTCTGATCTCACTATCTAAGATTATCTTGGTGTTCGAGTACTGGGAGAGAATGAAGTCTTAGAAAAAAATATTTTTTTTGGCCCATATATAGGAAAAACCGAAGGTGTTATCCAGAGTATTAGGATAATAATATGGCAAATGGCTAAATTGGAAGGAATCCATTCCTAGAATTCAGCAATGTTTAAATTTTTTTTTTATCCTCTTTCACCAAATGGTATTTTTTCATCTTTTGGTTTCCTTTGATGGTTCATGAGTTTTTCCTCTTCTGTCTTCCTGCCTTTCTCTCCTATACACGTCCTTTAACTGCCAGTATAGACTCTCCTGCCTGCTTCCCACCTATCTACTCAGATTAATCCTGCTTATTTTTTTCCTCATATTCCATTATGTCCTTCCTGCAAAGCTGATGTACTTGCCAACTACTTCCTCTCAGCTCTGACCTTTGACTATTTTTATTGGGTATTCTTTTTGTCCAGATGTCTTATGAAATATCCTTCTTTGAACACGTAATTCAGATACTTATTGTATGTGAAATACTTCCAGTGTGTCATGAATGCCATATTGGTAAAAGGAAAGTTTTTCTGTTCAGTCCATGTAGTTGGCAAACTATGCTATTATATTGTGACTGGGCAGATAACAAAGCATAGATAGGAAGGTTGTAGAAGGTATCACATTATTGGGGCAGTTAAACTTATGTGATTATGTCTCCTGCTAAAATTGTTTCACTCACCCACAAAATGCACAAGAATAAATGAGTTTCAGAGCATAGAGTACAGGCTGTATATATTGAGTAAACAAGTTATTCAAACTTATTTTGTAGCAACAGACTTTTCCAAATGATATCTCACTCTGAATTTGAACTCCCATATACAACAGATTAAAGGGTAACTTCTATAAGTGAAGCAAGAGTTGGGTCTTAAGCACATGTACCTGGCCCCAACAAAACAAATACCCTAAAGCTTCTTTTAAGAGCCTGCTTTAGGTTGAGAAAAGGAAAATAGCACAGGTGGAAAATGTACAAGAATAGTGTCACAAAATTAAGTTTCTCGTAGGATTTTACGAGGGAAAGGAGGCACAGTGAGGCCTCGATGGATGTGGATGTATACCTTGCTAAGGTTTTATTCCTCACTAATTCCTTAGGGTGAAACTTAAGAGGTACATGTTTGAGCCTGGCATGTTTGAGTCATGCTCATTTCTGGCATAAGATAAGGCTTTTTTTTTTTTTTTGGCCTTATCTTTATTGATTTCAGAGAGGAAGGGAGATGAGGAGAGAGGGAGTTAGAAACATCAATGATGAGAAATAATCATTTATTGGCTGCCTCCTGCATGCACCATACTGAGGATCAAGTCCACAACCCTGGCATGTGTCCCGACCAAGAATTGAACTGTGACTTCCTGGTTCATAGGTCAGTGCTCAACCACTGAACCACTAGCTATGCTGAAATTCTTTATCTGCAGCCCTAAGGATTTCAGATTCAAATATGTAAATTGAGTCACTTTGAGTGAAAATCCTTAAGAAGTAAAAATTTATTGTCACTGCAATACATATAATAAACATTGTCTGAAAACTTGAATGGAGACGGGGGGGAAACTTATATGTAACTAAAGTTTATGCAGTAAACTACATTACTACCTGTGCTTTTTGTCACCAATAAAAATTTCAGTGCTACTGCTAGTTCTGGTTATTCATACATTACAAAGAAAGTAGAGTTATTAGAAATAACTCTAATCTCTTACAATATATTTTGATCATTATATTTTGTGTTTTTTTAAAAAATATATTTTATTGATTTTTTACAGAGAGGAAGGGAGAGAGATAGAGAGTTAGAAACATCAATGAGAGAGAAACATCGATCAGCTGCCTCCTGCACATCCCCCACTGGGGAAGTGCCCGCAACCCAGGTACATGCCCTTGACCGGAATCGAACCCGGGACCTTTCAGTCCGCAGGCCGACCCTCCATCCACTGAGCCAAACCGGTTTCGGCTGTTTTTTTTGTTTTTGATCATTGTATGTTATTATAATCTGTATCCTTTTTAGCTTAGGTGTTACATTTGTGCATTTATAAATGTGATTTTGAAAAGGTGCTATAGGTGTCATAAGATTGCCAAACGTTAAAAATAAATACATACATACATAAAAGCAATTTTAAAAGTCAGACACTACTAGGCAATTTAATCACTTGCTTACAACTCAAACAGATATGCTTATTTATTGTTCATTGTAGAAAACACCTTATCATTGAAGGAATTACAGCTCAACAAGAAAAGTGAATTCCCAGCTAAGACAGGACTTGGGGTGATGAATACACAAAAAAGTGTACAAATGATGTGTTATAGAATTGTGCACCTGAAACCTGTATAATTTTGTTAACCAGTGTTAGCCCAATAAATTAATGGGGGGGGGGGACAAAAAAGAAAAGTGAATCCCCCATATGATCTTAGAGCTTAAGTCTAACAGCAGTTGAAGCTTGTGCTTTTTATACCCTGCTCATTGTTTGTCATTGATACTGTTTAGTGTTTTGTCTTTTAGTGAAAAGAAAGAATATATGTATAGTGTATATATACATATGACTTTTAGAGGTTTGCCTTAAGTTCATTTTGCCAATAAGGTCTCATGTTTATTTGCTGTTGACCTAAGTAGCCTTTAGGAGTGTGGTTCAGCAATATTGGAAAGGGAGCACCCTTGTAGGAAAGTCTTTCTGAATAACTAATTAAATTACTAGGCCTTTGGCTGAGAGATAAATAATTGGTTAGGAACTGAGCAAAAGCTATTTCAGCTGGGTCCTTATATGTAGCCTTGTGATTCTGAGTGTCAATTTTTTTTTATTCTTACAGGAGGCAGCCTTCTGTGCTGTGATTCTTGCCCTGCTGCTTTTCATCGGGAATGCCTGAACATTGATATCCCTGAAGGAAACTGGTATTGCAATGACTGTAAGGCAGGCAAAAAACCACATTACAGGGAAATTGTCTGGGTAAAGGTTGGACGATACAGGTGAGTAAGCATGAAGTAGACAGGCAATCATTTCTTTTATTGTCCTGTTTCTTGGGATCTCTTAGATACAGTGTTTTATTTATATATATATATATTTGATGCCCGGGGAGGGGGTCTCTCAGCCTGGCCTGTGCCCTCTTGTAATCTGGGACTCCTCAGGGGATGTTAGCCAGTTTCAGCCGGATCCCCACAGACCAGGCCAAGGGACCCCACGAAATCTGTGCACCGGGCCTCTCATATGTATATAATATCTTTGGTTAATCTCTTCCTCCCCTCCCCCCTTCACTTTTATACACACACACACACACACACATTATTTCCCCACACTTCTTTTCACTACTAATCCATTTCTCCTGTACTCTCTTAAATCCATTCCCATAGAGTTTTTGTGTCTTTTAAAAAATAGTTTCTTGATTTTGAGAGAGAGAGAAATATTGATGTGAAAACGCAACATGGATCTACTACCTTCTACATGCCAATGCCACCCCCCCCGGGTGATCGAACCTGCAACCCAGGCATGTATCCCTGACCAGTAATCGAACTGGCAACCTCTTGGTACACAGGACGATGCCCAACCTACTGAGACACACCGGCCGGGACCTTAATATACATATGTGTGTGTGTGTGTGTGTGTGTATTTTGTTCTGTTAATCCTGATTTTTATAGAGAGTGAAAGGTAGGGGGAAAAACAAAAAAATAAAAGCATCAATGTGAGAGAGAGACACTGATTGGTCACCTCCCACATATGTCCCAACGAGGGCCAGGGATCAAGCCTGCAACCTGGGACCTTTCAGTCTGCAGGCTGATGCTCTATCCTCTGAGCCAAATCGGCTAGGGCAGGCCCTAATATTTTTTAATGATCTCCCTATTTAAGCAAGGCCTCCCCATTTATTTTCCATTAGAAAAGAAAAAACTAATTATATGTTGCAGTCATCAGAATCCTATATAATAAAAGCCTCATATGCTACGTGTCTGACAGTTTGTTCAACCATTTGACCAGTTGCTATGATGTGCACTAACCATCAGGGGGCAGATGCTCTGACTGGTAGGTTGGCTTGCTGCTGGGGTCGGGCCAATTAGGACTGGGCCAGACGGGCCGGACACGCCTTGGAGCTCTCCCACAGTCCCTCCCCAGCACCAATCATGCACCAATAGGGTCCCTCGGCGTGGCCTGTGCCCTCTCGCAACCTGGGACCCCTTGGGGGATGTCGGAGAGCCAGTTTCAGCCTGATCCTTGCAGGCCAGGGAAGGGACTCCACTGGTGCATGAATCCTCTACTAAATACATATTTTCACTAGGAAATTCATTAATTTACAAACAAGGAAGATACATTGCTAACATTTTGGTATATTTATTTGCAGACACATCAATACATATACCCTCAAAATAATTGGACTTATATGCAGTTTTTGTGGGGTTTTTGGCGGTTTTTTAAAATATATTTTTATTGACTTCAGACAGAAAGGGAGAGGGAGAGAGAGAGAAACATCAATGATGAGAGAGAATCATTGATTGGCTGCCTATTGTACACCTGCTACTAGGAAGCAAACTTGCAACCCAGACATGTGCCCTTGACTGGAATCAAACCTGCGACCCTTCAGCCTGTAGGCCAGCACTCTATCCACTGAACCAAACTGGCTAAGGCCTCAGTTTTTGTGTCCTGTTTTTCTTTTTAAAATTATTGTTATTTATCATGGAATGTACAAAAGGGTAATGTAACATGAATGACTTTAAAGAATAACAAAAGGCACACCTGTGTATGTACCTCCCAGTTAAACAAACAGTTCATTACTGGTGCTTTTGAGTCTTCCTCTCTGAATTCGTTCTCTCCCTATCCACAGAGATAGCCACATACTGCACTTTGTGTTTTTCATTGCTTTGCCTTGCTGCATAGATTTGCCATATGTATAATATTTTGTTTGGCATGTTTTACATCTTTATAGAAAGGAATTGTTATATTTTCCTGCACCTTGCTTTTTTCATTCACTAGTCTCTTGAGATTTATTGTTGTTAGCACAGTACTCTAGTTCCTTCATACAACATAGTCATACAGTGTTGTCTGTGTAGTTCACTTATCCATTCTCTTGTTTGCACTATTAATATTTTATTAATATGTTAGTGTACATGCACAGGAGCTTCTCTGGGGCATTCTCAGGATAGAATAGCATGGTAGGGGTTTCTAGCTTTAATAGCTAATGTCAAATTGTCTTCCTAAGATGGTTGTGAGGGGCAGATTCCTTGATGTCATTTTTCTATTCTTTTTGAAGGCCAAATTATATTTCATGACAGTGTACTATAGTTCTGTCATTACCTTAACGTTGAGCATTTAAGTTGTTTCAGGTTTTCATTCTTCTAGATCATAGTTCTATAAAGCTTTGTTCATATTTCTAATTATTTTCTGTTATATAATCCATGAAGTAGAATAATGTGAGTATAAGGGAGTGTGTCTGAGTATGGAAGCACATTTGTGCAGATGGGTGTTCTCAGGCTTTTGGCACATACTACTTTTTTTTTCTTCTAGTTTGATTGTAAGAATGCTCAAGATCAGACTTTAATGTGGATAGATAGACATTGCTATTCCTTATTCCTGTCCTAAAAAGTAGGCTATCTTCCTAGTGCTTTGCAGTGTTTTAGTTTTCCTTCTTTGTTTTTACCTTTCCCAGGTGGTGGCCAGCTGAGATCTGCCATCCTCGAGCTGTACCTTCCAACATTGATAAGATGAGACATGATGTGGGCGAGTTCCCTGTGCTCTTCTTTGGGTCTAATGACTATCTCTGGACTCACCAGGCCAGAGTCTTGCCCTACATGGAGGGGGATGTAAGCAGCAAAGATAAGATGGGCAAAGGAGTGGATGGGACATATAAAAAAGGTAACCATATCTTTTTTATTTCCCAGATCAACACAGACCTTTGTTGGCAAAGAATTTCTCCTGTGTTACAATTATGTGTTATAATTCATATATGTTCCATTAGCAATTGTGTTCTGCCCTGTGGCTGTAGTTACAGGATTTTGTGGGGAAGTTGACACTCCTAACTCTTTTTACATTGTTGTTAATCCTCACCTGAGGATATTTTTCCATAGAGTGAAAAAGAGAGGGAAAGACAAAGAGAAACATTGATGTGAGAGAATCACATCGATTGGTTGCCTCTACAGGGCCGGGGAGGAACCTGCAACCAAGATCCGTGCCCTTAACTGGAATCGAACCCAAGACTCTTTATTCTACAGGACGACGTTCTATCCTTGAACCAAAATGGCTAGGGCCATAACTCATTTTTTAGTTCAACCTTTACTTAAGTGGAATTTCCTTCAGGGAGGTTTTTTGTCTCATCAGTTCTGTGTTTAGTTTGCTGGGAAGAAATAAAATTCACCAAAAATTATGAAGCAAAATAAGAGTGAAAGTCAACATATTATTCCGTGTCAAAAGAGATTTTTATATAAGCTGGCCTAGCAGTGAAGGAGTTGGGGACATGTGGGGCCAGGATGGGTCGAGTTAACTATGAGTTTTCTCTTACTGTATAATGAGTAAAGGTTGGTCTGATAATTCGAGATAAAAAAATCACCCTTCAGGGCATAGAGTTGATATCTCCTCAATGATAATTATCTTCTTCCCGTTAGCTATTCTTTGAAAGGCAATATAGGTATCTCTTGTTATCTGTCTATCTACACTAATAAAAGACAAAGATGCTAATTGACTGCACCTTTGCTTCGCCCAAGCCACACCCACCAGCCAATTAGAGCAACTATATGCAAATTAATCCAACCAAGATGGTGGCTGGCGGCCGGGGGGGGGG